GACTAGCTTGCAATGGAGGCTTGTGCAGGGGAATGTCATTAAAAAGAGATAAGAATCCCTGCAATAGCCTCATTTGCATGCTAGTTCCAGTCCAATACTGAGAATATGAAAATGGTCTATTCTGCGGACATAATGTATCTTTCTCAGTGTGACAATACATGTCTCATAATTTCTCAGAAGTCAGTGGTAACTTTTTACATTGTTTGTTTTATCATCAGACTTCTAGCAAGATTGATAAGGTTTTTGAAGCAGTCACTTCAGCAATGGATGAGTGTCATGGTACAAATCTGTACTTAAAGATTTAAGTTATTAAAATTTCATGATAATGTATGGTTAGCTGAATGATTTCATTCAGTTACTAACTGCTAACTTAGGTTCAAGAGCTTGAAGAGCATTTTGATTCTACATAAATTTATAGTTTTACAGTAGTTCAAAACCTGTTTTGAACTAGTTCAAAACAGTAGTTCAAAACCTGTAGTGTTTTGCTGTTTTCTTCTAAAGTGTGCTGTTGTTTGTTTTGTACCCTGATCAGGAATATCAAGAATTGAAACTTTGCAGACTCATCAGAACTTTGAGGTGTATAAAGCTGCTTTGGCAATAATAGACAAGTTTTTCTCTGAAGAGGTAACATTACAGTTAGCATGTTGTCGGTATTAATAATAATAATAATAATAACTTTATTTATATAGCGAGTATATACAAAGCTCTATATCGCTTTACAGTCATGAAAGTAAAACTAAATATAATAATTTAAACTAAATTAAGTATAAACTTTAAGATAGAAACAATTCTCTAAAAGCAATTCTGAAAAGATTAGTTTTTAAACTTGATTTAAACACGGCGACTGATGGAGTTATTGAGCATTATCAGTTAATGCTCAGTAAGTCCATCAGTTAATCACAACAGTACACTTGACTGGTGCAAGCTCTAGTCTGAGTATCAGGCTTTTCAAAAGTTAGGGGGGTTGGGGGATGGGAGGAAAAAAGAAGAAAAAAATAAAGGAGGAAAGGCCTAGTTTGTTCATTTGGCCCTTCTACCCCCTCACAGCATGATTATGTGCCTCAGTTGAAAAAATTAAGTTAGATTTACTGCTGGGTATGTGATCAAAACAGTAACGTACACATACTTGATCTACAAAAGCTCACATCTTGGTCCAAGCATGTTTTTGATCTAAGGACAAAATCTCTGCTGAATGTGGGGGACACTCTACCTTAAACCACTTCCTCAGAGGCAAGGTAAAATGCTCAAAGGAGGATCATAGCAATGATGTGGTGCATAAATCAACTGGAAAATAAACTTCATGACAAAGGTTGGAAAAGGCCAATATCTCATGCACCAAATTAAAGTAAATGACACTTGAATAATACCTGTGACATGTAGTGTTCATAAACTACTGGGAAGTTGTTGAAAGAATTGTCACTATGAAGACAGCACCTTATTGCTAAAGCACAACATTCATTATCATTTTCATTGTTCAGAAAAGTTCAGTTTCCATTGACATGAAATGAATGGAGACCTTTGTTGTTCCTTTGTTTTGTTAGACTTCTGATGGAGAGACAGACCAAATTGCTCCCAAAGCCACCAGTGAAGGATACAAGTTTGGTACTCCACAGGCATTGCCAGCTGATGGTTTCCACTTCTAGTAAATAGCTCTGTTAACTTACTCAAATCTGCTAGCTGAAATGGCAAACATGTGCCACAAATAATAATTATTATAGTTGGACTAGTATGAATGTTAATTTATTAGAAATACTTAGCACATGTGTGCATCAGTTAAAATATTGCTTTTTTGCAATTTTGATTAGTACATAAATTTTGTGCTTTGCAATTTGTATAAATGTTATTGATAACTGTCACAGGCATTAATATCAGGCAGCTGTAATAGGTGTACGACAAATAATTAAACAATGCTTGAGAGTTGATTTGAGTAAGTTGATTCGATTTCAGTCATCACCTACCCCCCAACCTCGTTCTGCTTTCTGGGAGACAAATTATTCCAAGTTTAGTTATGATTTCTTTGTTTTCATTGTATGATGACTTTTACATTGGGGGAGGGGAGTGCTTATAGGTTTAATTTTCTTGTATGTGAAGTTGAAATGAGGTCCCTTAGAAGTCTCTTGGTCCTTGTTTTGTGTCAAAAGCCAGTCAGTACCTAGCTTAAAACATTCATCAACTTCACTCGTCTTCTACCTAGCACACTGCCACAATTCCTCATTTGAGATCTTCCTTAGACTAGCTGTTCACAGCCCTCTATTTTCTCGTATTTTTATTCCATCATTGAACACGTGTATAGAATTGTGAGAGATGTGGATGCCAGCTCAAAACGGAAGACTTGACTGGGTAGATGGGGTCCAAGATAAATAGAGGGACTGTAGACATCTTTGGAAAAAAAGTGAATTCCCCGTTTCTCGAGAAATGGAAAATTCCCATTGGTTGAAAGGAGACAAAAGTGTCATCACCTTGACATCAGCAGATCGTGATTGCGTCCAGATGCATTTTGCGGCTTGCAGTAGTTAATTGTTATCACTGAAATGTGATTTGTTAAGAAGCGGTTTTTAAAGAAGTTTTAAAGTTTCTTTGCTCAAAGATGAACAGAGGCTGCTGTTTATCTTCTTCGGTCGAAAGACGTTGCATCTCTTATCATGCGTTGGTCTGGTTACAGCTGCTAGGATCTCTGATGGTTTGTTCTGTTCCATTTTGTCACCGCTGCTGGTTCCAGCTGTTTCCTCTGTATTGGTGATAATCTCCTCTTGGACTGACTGAGGTTTGGCATTAAGCAGAAAAAAGAAAACGATAGACAGTATCAAGTCAAGATTATGATCTGTGTATCTTGATCAGCTTTATCAGTTCATCAGTGAGGCCCTATTAGGGGTTTTGAGG